CCGGACATGTCCGGGGAAATACGGACGGATGGTAACCCTACCCAACCCAGCTCAGCCCCCATGCTTTGTGAACTGGGCCAGCACCTCACTATCTCTGCTGGCCTGAAGGCCTTGCTGGAGGCTCCTCTTCTGAACACCAATGCTCTGCTCCACGCTGGAGCTGCACTTGGATCGTTGGTCCATCCCCAACCTGTACTGTCTGGCAGTGTCTGGCACCATGTCATGACTTGCCACCAGGGCTGCAGGTCACACAGTGGCACTACACACACAAGTTGCAGCAGTTTAATTAAATCAGTTAAAAGCCGATTAAGTCAAACAGATGCTAATCTCTGCCTGCGCCTGTACATGTACCCACACAAGCTAAGCCTATACAAGCAGGGTTTAATCTGTGTTAAGAGTATCTACACACAAATTGGACTGTTTTAATTCAGTAGCAAATTCTCCCTGTAGTCAAACTGGTGCATCTCTGCGTGTAGGCCTGGCCTCACGACAGCAGCTGTCCCCTGGCACCTGCTCTCAATTCCAGCCTCCATTCTGCAACTGCAGGGTACAGGCTCCCCCTTTGTTCCCAGAGCCTGTGGCCTTGCATTCAAGGCCACTCAGTTTACTTGCTCTTCCTTTGTGAGGCAGGATGCAACTGGCAGGAAATCCCTCCGACGGATTTCCCTACTCTCATAATAACCAGGACTGCTCCTGAGCATCATCTCCCTGCTGCCGGGGGGAGGGAGGGCGGGGGAAGGAGGAAGGGGGAGCTGCACCCACCCCCTTCCTTTGTTATAGGACTTACTGGGGGGAAAATGAAGCATAGCAAGGCTAAGCTAGGGGAATGGAATTAATCTCCTCTTTAATTCACTAATTTATTGTCATCTACAAATAAATCCAGTGGCTACATGCAAATAGTGCAGGGTGAAAAAGTTGGGAGGTGGTTCGCTGTGTTTGTGGGACGCCTTCAGTCTGAGATGAGAGCAAGCCCTCCAGTGCTGAGCTCCCCCACAGCCACAAGCACCTCCCCTGTAGCTTGCAAAGGAGTTCAGGCCTGTGGCTAGGCCAGAATTTGCCTCACAGTCATTTGGTTGCTGAGGAAAAACAATTTTGTTTTCAGCAGTCAGCAAGTAATGAAGAATTAGTGGTGTAACTAATAATAAGATGGTGCAAGCAGCAAAGAATGAGCCCCATCCTTCAGGTCACTGTTTTTTCCTTCCGAGGATCTTTGAACTTTTCTTAAAGTATTTTAGAGAGTCCAGTGTTAGAAGTATTTGATTTTTTAAAAGTTACAGAACTCCAAGTGCTAGAGACTTTTTGGTTGCATTGCTCTATCACCTGTGCCAGCCACACCATGTAGAAGGCACTCTCAAGGGGATGGACAGTTGGGAGCAAGTTCCACTCCCCAAAATGACTTTTCATTTTCACTCCTTTAAATGGACCCTTCCTCCCCCCAGTGTCTATTCCTGCTGTGGGTTGCTGTGCTCAGACACACAAAGCAAAGCTTTGTAACTGCTGTGCACGTGGGAAAGGTAGTGAGAGGGCAGGGCAGGTGTGGGCATTCACTAGACAATTTTGGCCCTGTACTGATACTACTAGATCTTTGCCAGCTCTGGGGAAATGCCATTGCTTTGGAGAGCCCACCTCAAAATTTGTAACAAGAGAGACACTAAAGTGGAGCTATCAGTACATCTAAACAGAAAGTGCTGCTTAGCCTTAACCAGTGATGAGCTGCCAAAATATTAACAACAGGTTCCCTCCTCCTCACCCCATGAGGGGGTCATATCCCCCCACCGGAATCCTGCCCTATCCAACCCCCCATGTTCCTTGATGCCCCCCCCAAGACCCCTGCCCCATCCACCCCCCTTCCCTGTCCCCTGACTGCCCCCTGCTGCCCCATCCAACCCCTCCGCTCATTCCTGATGGGCCCCCGGGATCCCTGCCCCATCCAACCACCCCTTCTCTCTGTCCCTGACGGCCCCCGGAACCCCTGCCCCTCACTGCCCCATCCAATCCCTGCTCCTTCCTGACTGCCCCCCGGGACCCCATTCAGTCCCCCTGTTCCCTGCCCTCTGACTGCCCTGACCCCTATCCACCCCCCCACAACCCCCTGAACTCCCCTGCCCTCTTCCAACACCCCCCTCCCAGCCTAGAGCTGCTCGTCTGGGTCCGGGCCCAGGCCGGAGCCACTCGGCCAGGGCCAGGACCGGCGCCACGGGGCCGGAGCCGCTCGGCCGGGGCCGGCACCACAGGGCCCAAGCCAAGCCGGACCAGGCCAGGACTGGCGCCACGGGGCCCGAACCGAGCCGGGCTGGGCTGGAGCTGGCGCGGCTGGGGCTAGAGCCGGGGGTGCTCGGCCAGGGCTGGGACAGGCTGGGGCACTCGACGGGGCCAGGCAGGGGCCGGGGGGCCAGGCTGGAGGGAGCCGCTCAGCCGGAGCTGGGACCAGCGCCGCGGGGCCCGAGCCGTGCCGGGCCACAGCCGCTCGGTCAGGATCGAGACCAGCACCGTGGGGCCCAGGCCGGGCTGGAGCCAGAGCTGGGGGCGCTCAGTCGGGACCAGGCTGGGGCCCTCCTCGTGCGTCCCCACCCCAGTTTACCTGCCTGCTGCTTGTTTCAGGCTTCTCACAAATATCTGATTCGCGGGAAGCAGGGGAGGGGGAGAAGGGGGGCGGAGCGTTCAGGGGAGGAGGGGGAATTGAGCTGGGGCCAGGGGTGGGGTGGACTGTTGCCGAAGCTTTTGTTAAATTTAAAAGTCCTTTTAGAACCGGTTGTCCTGGAACAACCAGTTCTGAAAGCACTTCTAAATTTAACAACCAGTGGGAACCGGCTCCAGCTCACCAGTGGCCTTAACTAGGCCCCGGCCATTGCTAACAAGCTGCCTCCAGCTCCAGATTACAACCACCTCAGTATTAACCTGTCTGGTGGAACTTTGAGCAGGTGACAACTGTCAAATATTTGGGTAGTGTCAGTGCTGGAGGATGCTCAAAAGACATGGACACTCATACAGCAGAAGCTACTGCCATGTTTTGGGCCCTTCACGTGGCCTCTGTGGAGATGTTTGGACATAAGTTTACCACAAAGCTGTAGGTCTATAGAATTATGGTTATACCAATTTTATTCTATGGAAGTGAAACATGGACGCTGAGGAAGACTGAAGAGCATGGACTGACGTTTTCAATTCTTGTCCATCATCATCAACTGCTTATTTAAGGCAGAACAGGATCAGAAATGGGCAGGGGTTTGGTTTTGACAGTTATCTTGGCATGGTCATGTCAAGATGGAAGATCAATGAATTCTGAAGCATGTGTACCAATGAATGCCATGAACTGGCTGGCGATTACATGGGTGCCAAAAGCTTCAGTGGTATAAGTGCCAGTGATGGACAAACTGTGAACATCCAGCCAGACCAGAGATCAGTTTTGGTGGTGCTTGATCTGCAAGGAAGCCACTCCTACCCAGGGCTCATCCACTCTCCCCACAGCCCTATGGCATATGGCTCACCCCACATCATAAATACATGCCCCCAAGACTTAGCTCCCTCTCTTCCCCCATGTTCTAGTTCTCACAAATGCACATGCACACTTCTAAAGCTCACCATCCACCATGACTGACCCTCCCTTACACCCTATGGCTCATCTGTCCTCCCATACCCCTATGGCTCACCCCTTCTACATACACCCACCCCTTAGTGCCGAATTGAAAATGGTCACTGGGGTGAGGCTTGTGAGTATTTTTACAGCTGGGTTTCCATTGTGCTTTCCAGGGTCCTCTGCTCTGCTCCCTTCCTCCTTACTGGTCAGCTGATTTCCAGGCCAGGCTTCTATCTAGCTGGGCTTCTTGCTCCCCCACCCCCTGGGCTGCACGCTGGACCCTGATACACCTCAGCCTGGCTCCTGCCCCTGTGGGAAAGCTGGAGAACATGAGGCAGCTGTGGGCAGTTCCCAGCCAGGGATACAGAAACCACAGTGTCAGTCATCTGGTGCAGCACCATGGGGGATGTGGGAGGAAAATGCTGAATTCTGAGGCATCTTGGCAAAATGTATTAGTCCACAGCTGTGGAATCATAAAGCCCATGAACTCTGATTGAGAGGAACAGGACAGGTCTCACCTCTCCAAGCTGTACTTTCAGTCTCTCTGAAGACTCAGGCAGGCATTACTGTATTGGTTACACTTGATCACATTTATGAGGCTTTTGTCACAACCATAAAGGCTAAAAATATTTTAATTTTAAATAAAATTGAAGGTTCTGGAGCCTGATTCTGCGGCAATGTGGTGAATTCTGCAGCTGGGGTCTTGTCTGTGAGCTCAGGATTGCTGAATTTGGGTCTCAGAATGAAGTTTGCATGTGATTGGGTGAGTTCTGTTCATTGTTTCTCTAGCACAATCCATTCTGCCCTACCTAGACTGGGAGGAAAGGGCCTCGCTGACTTATGACCTCTGCAAGAGTGTCACTGCCTGTCAGACACCCAGGTGGCTTCAGTAACTGCAGTGTCTACTGCACTTGCCATAGGGTTTGTTGCATAATTTTCATGTCCTCCTGCTACCAGAAGTGAAAGCCCAGGACCAGCTGGGATATAGGGCAGATTGCAGTTTGGTAAATGCTCTCCTAAGTTACCTTCCCATGTCAGCAAGGGAAGAACTTGAAAGAGGAATGCTGGGCCTGAGGCAATTGGATGGGAGGTGGGGGCAGGCCGTGAGCAGGGAGGAGGTGCCCAAGTAATGGGTGGAGAGATGGGGCTGGGGAGGCAGGTGGTGGATGGGTAAGTGGGACCTGTAGCTCGGCCATAGATGGAGAGGAAGGACCGGGGGCTGGGCCATGGGTGGAGAGGGAGATATGGGCAGGGCAGGTGGGTCCAGATGCCAGGCTGTCAAGTGGGAAGTGGGACCAGACACTGGGCTGGGATGTTGGGGCAGGGAGATGAGCTGTGGGCAGAGATGCAGGGCTGGGCATGGATGGGGAAGAGGGACCAGGTACCGGGCTGTGAATGGGGAGGTGTGTGCAGAGAGACTGGACTGTGGGCATGGAGGTTGGGCTATGGGCTTAGAGGTGGGGCTGGTGCCAGGCTGTGGGTGGGAAGGAGAGGCTGAGTGCTAGGCTATTCATGTGCAGAGAGATGGGCCTGGTGCCAGGCCAAGGGCAGGGAAGCAGAGCTGGGATATAGGGGGAGGAGAATAGGAACTCCTTTGGGAGGGACCAAGAGATGGAAGGGGATTTGGGGGAGGTGGGGTCAGATAAGGGAAGCAGGAGGGCAGATGCATCTATTACAATCTCTACTGAGGTGTGGTTCACGCAGGAACTGTTCACCAGCATCAGTCACTATTTCCATTTGCAAAGAGCATTGGTTCTGCTCATGTGTCTGCTGCAGCCGTCAGCCTTCCCACATGACCTACACAGCAGAAGCATCGCCATCCACCCCAAAGGGCTTGCTATGCGCAGAGAGCTGCTGCAGGAGCCCTGAGGCCGTTGTTGCATGGGCCTGTGCTTTCTGGGATAAGATCATTTCAAATAGGGTGCTCATCTCGGAGAGGAAAGTGCTGGCCAGTCTCGTCCTGGCTGCGTTTGGGTCAGATCCAGTAACTTTGCCAAATGTCTCAAAGGTTCTTGGTTTATCTTGCCCTTCATCTTCCTGGTGCTGAGAAGAGTGCAGAGAAGCAGGGGAGAAAACATTGTCCTTGTAGCTGCTGGTGAGGGACAGGGAGAGCCGAGCCATCCATGCAGGGTCTGCCGTCAGCCTCTCCAGGGCCAGCCCTGCAAGGAGCAACACACCCAAAAGAAACAGAGATGGTGAGAGCTGGGGTTGAGCAGTCCATGGGAGAAGAAAGAAAAGACAGGAAAGTGCCCTGGGCCAGCTGGGAGAAGGCGATAGGGGTGAGAGGGCGCATTCCTGGCTCCAAGCTTTCAAACCTTGTGCGTCAGCCAGCCCAAAAATCATGAAAGTGGCTTAAAAGTAATGAGATTTTAAAATAAAATAAATGTGGGGCTTCTTCGCCTTGGTAGTTTTTAGTGATCACATTTCAGACTTTATTTCACAACCACAAGGGCCTAGGAACATTTATTCAATCAAGAGGTGAGATTCTGGTGTCATTACATGGCTCCAGCATCTGGGAGCTTTAAGGAAAACACCAAATAGCATGAGAGTCACTCTAAAATGGCAGGAGGTGTCATCACTGTAATAATTGTGTGCCCCACACAGCCCTTTTACAGTCAGCAGTCCCCTAGAAAAGTTCTTTCTAAAATGGTGGCTCAGTTTCATTCACTTAGCCAGGCTGCCTGTCAAAAAGAAACAGCCAAATCTCTGTGTTTGGCTATGTTCTCATGCAATCCACTGTGTGATGTGCCTCCAACCAGTGAATGGTCCACACAGGATAGCAACCTACTCCTGCTGCCAGCAAAGTTGTTAAAGGTGGAGCATGGAGATCTAGAGGCACAGCACAGAGTTAAGAGTGGCACATAAAATGATATGATTGTTTTGTTTTGTTTAAAAAAAAAACATAATACCCAGCAAATGGCTTATGAAACCCTGTTAAGTGAATTATATTAGAGTTGCAAAATCAAGCATTTGCACATTAGGAAATGGCAGAATTTTGACCATCCCTTTGCTCTTGTAAGAGGGTAAATGGGGTACCCAATTTCCAATGTGCTTGCTTCAGATCATTCATTATTCTGTCTGTCATATCACCGCTTGTCTGCTCTCTAAAGTAATCATTTCTGACCTTTTCACTCTCCCCCATGGCGATCTCTCCAAGCTCCTAATCATTCTTATTGCCCTCCTCCTACCACCTCCAATTCTGCAAACTCTCTCTGCAGTTGAGTTCCTAGTGCAATACACAGGATCCTGGGGCGGGGAGCCCATGGATTTAGAAAATGGTAGTACAATAGTGTTCATCTTTTGATGTTCCAGTGCAAAAACAGAGCAGATAAGCTAGTTCCATACTGGGGCAGAACTAGGGTCGTTTGGGTACTGTCAGTCTGATTCTCCTCTCACTGGTTTTACTCCAGTATCACTCCAGTCTCCAGTGGGTTTGCTCCTGATTTACACCACTAGGGTGAGTGAGAGAGGGAAAATAGAGCTGAAGAACAGGTTTGCTGAGTTGCAAAATGAAGAACGGGCACAGCAGGCAGTAAAAGAAGGTGGGAGGGCAATGAAGAAGAGAAGAGCAGCTAGTCCTATAAGAAAGCCAGAGTTTGGAATCACAGGAGGATAGAGGATGATTGACAGAAGACTGCAAATAAGAGCAAAGGCTGAGAGGACTTGCAGCCAGAAAAAACTGGAGGAGGAAGGCCAAGGAATTGCACTAACACCAGGAAGAGGCAGGTCTATGTGATTGGGGACTACCTACTAAGAAAGACAGGTCTGTCACCAGAGCTGATCTAGGGAACTGAAGGGTGTGGTGTATGCTGGGAGCTAAGATATGGGATGTGGACCTGAGGCTGCAGAGAATCCTAATGAGACCAAGAAAGAATCCACTGATTGTCCTTCACACCCTACACACTATCGTAGTAATCTTTTTGTACAAAGTATGCCCTGTAAAGTATCATTTGAAAATTTATAATTTGCTGGTCAGTAATTATGGTTGTAAAACATGTGTGGCAACACTGTATGTGATGTTATAAGATTCTCCTGTATGATGTTACTAACGTGATCCAAATCCCACAGCCCTGCCCAGGCAGAAGTGAGGTCTGTCCTAAACAAAGGAAGTAATGTGTGCTTGCCTTAATTTTAATTTAAGCAATAAACAAAGTCATCAAGCAGGGAGAGAAAAATGAAGTTTCAACAGGTGGCGGCGGGGGGAGGACAGCAGGGAATATCGTGCCACATAGACTCTTTGTCTCCTTGGTCTCAGCCAGAAATGTTTTTTTCAAGAGGGCAACTGACATTATGAAAAGGAGAGACAGCCCAATACACCTCCCCCCTCTCTCTTCCTGCCCATTACATTCTCTGCACCTGAGAAGAGGGAAACAGCTGTTGGACTCTGGGGGCGGGGTCGTGCCCTGAGAGTTTGACCAGTAATCTGCTGGAACATGTGCTGAGAAAGTGTGCTTTGCAACTAAGATCATTTCTTAAGTAGATATTAGTAAGTGTTTTGTCTCTATTTTTCTTGTAATCATTTCTGGCTTTTATACCTCATTACTTATAGACACTTCAAATCTCTCTTTGACTCTCCCCATAGATTCACGGCTCCTCCTCCTGCCCCAGGCGGCTAGAGAGCGTGGGGGGCGGATATATGGGCTGGGGGCTGCTGCCACAGCTGCCCGAGCTCCATAGCTCCTGGCTGGTGGTGGGGCCTAAGGGGGAAGAGGAGGGGAACGAGGGAGGGGTCCATCTGGGCAAAAAGTGGATGGGCAAGGCCTGTGGGATGGGCCAGGCAGGGCCACACTGGCAGTTTGGATAGGCTGAGCCTTCCCCTGCCGTTCATACCTGCCACCCATGGGTGTTGTGGTGCTGAGTGTCACAATGAATAACTTTCAGGCACCTAGAAAATCACTGGAACAACAGTGGGATCCACACAGCCTGAGTTAGGAGTCCAGGCTCCCTGTGCAATGCAATCCACAACAGTCAGCATGCTAAGTGGGAAGTCACCTAAGCTAGCCAGTGGGAAGTGCCAAGGGGGGTTGGCCTAAGCCCCTGCCCCCTCACAGAATTATGTGCCTGAATCCTGGCTGCAGGTGGAATCTTCTCCTGGAGTCAGACAGCTTACCCACCTATGTTGTTCTTTTCAAGAATAAGTGAGGCATGTATCATGAATAAGACTATGTTTTAGTCACAGGTATTTTTAGTAAAAGTCATGGACAGGTCACAGGCAGTAAACAAAAATTCACAGCCCATGACCTGTCCATGACTTTTACTATATACCCTTAACTAAAACTTGGGCCAGGGTGCCTGTGGGTGGGGGGCTGGCAGGATCCCTACATGGCTCTGACTGGTGTGTCCCTGCAGCTCCTAGGGGAGGGGCGGCCAGGGGGGCCCCCCCACCTGCTCCTCCCACAAGCGCCGGCTGCGCAGCTCCCATTGGCCAGGAACCACAGCCAATGGGAGCTGCGGGGGCAGCGCCTGTGGGTGCAAGCAGCATGTGGAGCCCCCTGGTCTCTCTGTCTAGGAGCTGCAGGGACATGCTGGTGGGAGCCAGGAAGCCCCTCCCCCAAGGGTAAGCACCCCAAGCCCAACCACCTGCCCCAGCCCTGAGCCCCCTCCCACATACCCAAACTGCTGCTGCTGCTGGTCCAGGGGCTGCCTGGCTCCGCCAGCACCAGCCAC